TTATTTTTTTTTTTAACGTAACTGATTATTTACCCGATATCCCTGGTATGAAGGATTTCCGCAGGAAAAGTTTGGAAATCTAAATGAATTTTTAGATTATTTGGGAGAAAGAACTGGCTACTTACCAAATATGGAAATATTGATCATTTTAATATTTTTTTGTCTTTGAATTTACACAATATTTTTTCAAATTGTGGGTTGCCATATTAGATTCCAAAATTTGTGTCAGTCGTATGCATGTTCCCTGTAATATTCCTATGCTACGTTGGGGGTATTTCTTCCCCTTAAATAGGTAAGACTGAAAGGTATAATTTCAGTTACTGGGTTCCATATTGGCTGCTTTAAAAGTGAAACAATTTCATTTGTTTGCATGCAGGCCCAGAGTCCACCATCTTAATCTGACATCATAGTAATGCCATTGTAAAAATTTAGATAATTTCTCATTGGACAACAAACTTAATGGTATAAATAGCACCAACAACAACATGCTGTGGAAAAAAATTAAGACTTTCTTGCCACTGTTTGTAAGTTTGGAATATTTGCAATGGAAACGTGTAAAAATAAAACAACTATGATTGAAAAAGAGAAAGAAAAAAATCACGTAGCAATTTTTCAAAGCTGTTTAATCAAACAACCAAAACTATACTGTTTGTGTTCCTCAGTCTTATTTGGGTTTTAATAACCGAAGATTGTTTCTGCAGTATTTTCAACTTTATTAATCATTCTTGTTAGTGATGTCCACAACATAAATTAAGGACAGCATTTAATGAAACGAGAATGTTTCATTTTAATAAAATAAAATTAATCACTCGGTGTTAATGAATTGTATATCTACATTATATTGGTATTGATTCAGTTTTATTGAAAGTAAAATCCTTTTTTTTTTCTGTACTTGTTGTGTGTGTGTTGGGTAAAAAAAGTTAAGTATTATTGAATTTCAAACTGTATAGTACTGCTGCATGATGTTTTTATTAATAGTTTACCTCACACTTCAGTAGTTTCCATAATTATTCTTGAGATGGGTCACCAGCCGTGGATTTAAAGTGTGACTTTTCTGTTTTATGTCAGAGGAAAATTTGGCTTTTTGAAATGTTGATTTTAATGCTTTTGTATCTTGACCAATGCTACATTTTGAACAGCACTAGAAATACTGACCGATGTGGATCCATCGTACATTAAAAAAAATATATATTTATTCGTGAAATTGCTGGTAGGTTCTTAACTTTCTCGGCCACAGGTAAGGGCTTGGCAATTTAATCACTGTAATTGTTTACATACGAGCAGTGATTACATTAATTAGTGTCATGTAAACTGATTGATTAATTACAATTATAATCAGTTAATCTATTCGCTTCAGCTGGTAAATATATATGACCTCTTAAAAGTTTTTTCTGTTCACTGGGTCAACTCATCAGAGTCAATGCCATCTAGTGAATCCATGAAATAATCTGGACTTTCACCTAGCTCTGGCAGTGCTTGTACAGGAATCTCTGACATATTGAGGAAAACTGATGCATAGAAGTCAGGAATAATTGAATTACTGTATGGCAACAACATATAGGGGGAATGTCAATGGACAACATTACCATGCAATGACATAGTAGGGGGAATGTCAATGGACAACATTACCATGCAATGACATATAGGGGGAATGTCAATGGACAACATTACCATGCAATGACATATAGGGGGGATGTCAATGGACAACATTACCATGCAACGACATGTAGGGGGATGTCAATGGACAACATTACCATGCAACGACATGTAGGGGGATGTCAATGGACAACATTACCATGCAACGACATGTAGGGGGAATGTCAATGGACAACATTACCATGCAACGACATATAGGGGGAATGTCAATGGACAACATTACCATGCAACACATATAGGGGGAATGTCAATGGACAACATTACCATGCAACGACATATAGGGGGAATGTCAATGGACAACATTACCATGCAAAGACATATAGGGGGAATGTCAGTAGACAACATTACCATGCAAAGACATATAGGGGGAATGTCAATCGACTACATGACCATGAAAATTTACGATCCAACACCTTGTGCAGAAATTTTAAAAGCAAGAATTCATACATGAACCAGCTGTATTGAACAGAAAAACACTTAGAGACCATATATGTTCCAGTCCCAATGTTTCTGGTTATTTCTTTATACGATTATTCCAACAATTGATTAATCAAAGTTTCAGTTATATCAATTGCCACAAAAATAATCAACTCTTTATATTAGTGTTTCCAACTATTACTATTTTTCATTATTCCAAATATCCAAGTAATCAAAATATTTCTTTTTCTGCTTGTACATACCATGGTTTGAGATACACTGTACTAATCAATTAATCAAATGTGATCAAATTATGGAGTTGTAGATCAAATGCTGAGCTTATAATTACAGGGACCATAATAACATATGATACAAAAACACCACCAATCACTATCACTAGTATTTAGTTATACTAAGTACAAGTTAATGCATGTGGGATGCCTTAATTTAAACTGTAAGTACCACCTTGCATCGTGGAAATCAACTTAATAGCGTGATTGAAGAAAAATAATGCCGTGTTTTGGTCGATAACTTTCTTAAGCCTTACAAGCAGCGTGTTGTTGCCAGTGGGAAAGCAAAGAGGATATTAGGTTGTATCTACAGAAGGTTATAAATGTTTTTTGTACAAATCTCTGGTTAGGCTTCATTTGGTATATTGTGCTCATTCTTGGGTTTCTCACTTTGAGAAAGACATTGAGTTGTTGGAAAGGATTCGAAAGAGGGACTGTCATACGAGGACATTTTAAGGTTCCTAAATTATTTTCTTTTAAGAAACTAAAGATTAATAGGAATCTAAATTTAAAGAGAGAATACATGAGATTGATGAATAATCTTTTTGATGTGTAATGGTGAGGGTGGTAGGGCTACAGGACATGTATTTAAAACTTGGCAAGGTAGAAGCAAATTAATCAATTTTATACTTAAAAACGGGGTGATTTGGAGAATTATAAGAGAGGGCTTGATTAGAACTTTGGAAATCAGGGCTTGGGTAGAGGCAGATAGTTGTTTGGTGAAATGAATGGGAGAGCCAAGATGGGTCAAGAGACCTCGTATTGTCCATCAAATGCTAATAATATTAACTATGATCAGAGCAAACTACCTGCTTTGAGCAAAACTAAAAATCAACCTGGTAATGAGTACAACTAATTAGATACAATTTTCTTATGCTTTTACTTGTATGGATTAAAATGTATTATTTCGTCATTTGGGTACCCTCACTGTTAACTATATTTTTGGCCATATGTTATGCTGTTGCTAGAGGTCCCAAGATATTTCTATTGAAAATGAGTGATTCCACCAAATTTCCGTGGGCAGCCCTTTACACTGAGTATTGTAATATTGAAATTTACTGTTTATGACGTAATGTGTAGACTCCATTGGTATTGAATAGTGTAAAAAGTTGGCAGTTTGAAGGTTGAGAAGCTGTTATGTAAAGTATGTAAAATAGATAAATCACACTTTGTTGACTTGTTATTAATTAAGAGGCATGGATTATACAAGTGCTGGATTTCACACTTAATATTCACAAACAAAAATTACAATAGTAATATACTCACAAACAAATTACAAGAGTAATATACTCGCAAACAAGTTACAAGAGTAAGACACTCGCAAACAAGTTACAAGAGTAAGACACTCGCAAACAAGTTACAAGAGTAAGACACTCGCAAACAAGTTACAAGAGTAAGACACTCGCAAACAAGTTACAAGAGTAAGACACTCGCAAACAAGTTACAAGAGTAAGACACTCGCAAACAAGTTACAAGAGTAACACACTCGCAAACAAGTTACAAGAGTAAGACACTCGCAAACAAGTTACAAGAGTAAGACACTCGCAAACAAGTTACAAGAGTAAGACACTCGCAAACAAGTTACAAGAGTAAGACACTCGCAAACAAGTTACAAGAGTAAGACACTCGCAAGCAAGTTACAAGAGTAAGACACTCGCAAGCAAGTTACAAGAGTAAGACACTCGCAAGCAAAATTACAATAACAGGGAAAAAGACTTGCATGAAAATATGGTATATTTTTATGCATTCTTTTGGTTGCTTGCTGTGACCTTAAAAAGACTTGGCATGATAACTTGTGAAAGTTTCTTCTTAACAATTGCTTACCTGAGTTAAGAATTTGAAAGAATGAAAAAAAAAAGCTACTTGTCTTAAAAAAACATATTATGGGTTTTGAAAACTAGAAGATTAGCTTGTGTTGAACCTTAATTGGTGGTTATGAAAAAATTACCATATAGATTAAGTGTTATGTCGTTAGTAAGCTGATTATCTTACCACCGTACATGAGATATTATTAACGATACAGAATTTCTGAACTTCTTTTCCAGCTGTAAGTTACATCAAAAAGATCAACAGTCCCTTTTTGAAGCTTCAACTGGTAAGAATAATTCATAACAAGTAATTTCACCAAGTAGTAGTATTGTTAGCATCACGGAAACGTTAGATCAGTAGTAAACCGTGAAAGCATTAAATACATGTATCTGATTAGTCAATTTTGGAAGTTGGAATCTTTGGTACATAGTGTTTAAAAAAAACATTTGATACATTCCATACCACAGGTTTTGTAAGAATGTTGTAAATATATTTAGGAAGTATTTATTTTAAAAGGTAGCCTATATATATATATGAAATAAGCTATACTTTTGTTTTTCATAGTTTATAAGTTTTGGGGAATTTAAATGCTTTAGGTACTAACCACCCATGTCTCCTCCCACTATCTGTATCTCTTTAGAAGTGAGTTACTGTTTCAGGAAGTGTACCTGTTCAGTCACTGTTTTATCGTGTTTTGTAGATGAACATTTCTCAAAGTTTGTAGAATTTCAACATTACGTTGGTGAACGTAGAATAAAACTTATAAACCTGTATTTTGTGAAATCAGGATGTATAAAAACAAATTTTGTTCGAGAACCGATATTTTTGTTTGTAGGCACTACAAATTTTTAGTTTTATGACCTTGCCTTGGTTAGACCAGTATATTAAATCAGTTACATTAGTTATTGATTTGATCTTTAGCTCTGGTCACTGTGGGTAACTTGTTTTGATCAGAATTTATTGATAATTACCTAAATGATTTTTGTCTTACATTTTTCTAGATGTTTTAATTGAATGTAATATTTATAATGTAGTAAAACACATGTATTGAATATAGAAGTCATCAGGCTTTTAATTCAGACAGTGTAATTAATATATTTCATTTTCTCAAGGATATCTTCCACCTACAAATGATATGTGGCAATCTTACAAACAACATAAGGGAACTTCTACAGTATGTAGGTGGGTGACTTTGTTTTACAATTTTTGTAGAAGTCTTGAATATCTTTTATTTTAATAATCATACTATCTCTTATTTTCATAGATAACCAAAAAAATTAACTATTCTTGTTAATGTTTCTTGTTTCCTTGCACTACTGGCCCCGATGAAGCCACAATGGCCGAGATAAAATTCTTTAGTATTATTATTTTCTGAGAATAAAGGTTTTTTTTTTTATAATTTTACTGCCAAAATTGTTAACGTTTGTGTAATAATGAATAAAATTCTCCATTGCTAGTCATCAAATTTCTCTTAAAATCGAACGACGCACAATATTTTTATAATAAATCTACCTCTGTAGCTTGATATAAGATTTTTTTTTTTATTAAATGTGGTGTATTTCACAATATATTAAATGTCCTTAACTGTACACTTCAATCCTAGATATTCTTAACCAATCTAATGTTTTACCACACGTTATTATCCGAGTTTTATTGTATATTGAAATTTGCTTGAAAATGTAACACTTTTTTTTTTGCATCTTAAAATTATGTTGATAACCCTAACATCAATTTTTAAGTATTGGTGCCAGTCTCGTTGGCGTAAAAGGTACAGGAAAGTTTTTTCTTCATACGTACATATATATAATGAATATTTGTGTTTCACCAAATCGAGATGAACCATGTGCTCTTGGAAGGGCTAACTACTGAAGAAGGTTAAGTGTTTATAAGATTGAAATCACTTGTAACTTATATGAGTATTATCCATTTGTAGGACATATTCAGGTTTCTCAAGCACCAAATCGAGATGAACCATCTGCTCCTGGAGAAATTAACTACCAATATGTATTCAGTCTGTTGGATGAACTACGATACGATGGGTGGATTGGTCTGGAATACACTCCAAAAGGTTAGAGGGGGACAGATTTTTTTGGTAATATTTTGAAGCTGGACAATCAATTCAGGTTTGAATAGCTATAAAAATAGAAGACTAGAGTAGTAGAGAGTTTAATATTATATCTAATGTTAAGGAATCAAAGTTTGAGTAATAGTAGATATGTTTTTGTCATTTCTCTGTGAAAAATAAAATGTGTAACCAGTAAAAGCTTTCAACATGAAAATAGAAAGAAAAAAAATTGCTTAATTTTTAGCTTCGGAATGAGTAGATACCAAAACTGTTGTTATTTACAAGAAGTAAATAATCTGCTAACTACATGAAAACTAGAAATTATTATGAAAACTGTGTAGACAATGCAATCCAGAAGTTCTGACATGGATAGAAATGACACTATTTAAAGTTTTCAAACTCGTCTAAGATTGTGTAAAAATAGATGAAAGCAGATTTGAAAAACCTGTTCAAGTTACTTCTATAATTTTAGACATAAAATGTAGTTTATTGGGAAGTGGTTGTTTCAATCTTAAGACTTTTCAAAATCAGTATCAGTTTTTATATAGAGCAGAACTGAGTCACTAAAGACTTTCCAAAATCAGTATCAGTTTTTATATAAAGCAGGAATGTGTCATTAAAGACTTTCCAAAATCAGTATCAGTTTTTATATAGAGCAGAACTGTGTCATTAAAGACTTTCCAAAATTAGTATCAGTTTTTATATAAAGCAGAACTGTGTCATTAAAGACTTTCCAAAATCAGTATCAGTTTTTCAATAAAGCAGGATTGTATAATGAGAAGTTGCTGTAATAAAATTCAGTTTTTAAACAATTCAAGTTCATCTATTGTATGTGTAGATGATATAACACAGACGGAACACATACAAATGTATATAAATGCTGAAGTAGCAGTTTTTACACTGTTATTATTTATTACACAATCAAAATTTATGCCCCAAATTTTCAAATATTCTATAGATTTATGATGTTATACACCTGTTTTTGAGTCTGCATAGATTTTTATACTTTGGTGAATTTAAATACAACTCTAATATTTTAAATCATTGTTTCAACATTGGAAGAGTGAAATTTTTTTTCGTAGAATATTACACAAATTATACAACAAGAATTGTAAATTTATTTTGCATGTTTAAAATTTTATTCTCGTTTACTGCTTAAATGACATTCCTCAATATGTGATATTTTACCCTATTTCACAGTATTAACTAAACATTGTGTCCAAGTTACTTGTTAGTCGTGATCTGAATAATTGGCTTGAAAGTTTTAACCAGAATTCTAATAGTACTCTAGATGTGTATCGTAGAAGAAGTCATCTCTGAGTCTACTTTATTTTCCAGAGTCAACACGTGAGGGATTAAAATGGATTGAAGAATATGGTTACAAACTCTAAGATCGTCGTTTGGATTGAAGAATACGGTTACGAACTCTAAGATCGTCGTTTGGTAACTTGCTTTTGAATGTTTTATTTGTCTGGTAAAAACTTGTTTCTCTGTGACCTGCTGTACTGTTAATAACCTGCTAACATTTGTGGCTGAATTAAAGATTAAATAATTTTGTTTCTTAAATTGTACTTGAATTGTAATTAATTTTTGTAGCCAACGTATGATTTTACTTCGTGACAGTCTTAGTTTGGGAAAATTCTACATTTTGTAAAATGTTTGTACATTGAGAAGTGAGAAGGTTTCCTCAGTTTCAAATTAATAAAATTATCCTTCATGCAAAGTTCTCCAGTTGTTAAACAATTAAAACATGTAGCCTCAACTAAACGGCTGTTTGAAAGATAGCATATCATTCATGGTTTGAAAAGGTACAAATATTTTTTTTTCGTACAAAATGTTGTTCGGGAACTACATAATAGAAACTTAACTATACACACAAGTATATTTTTTTATAAAGGTAAAAAGCATTTTGAATTATATAAAATATATTTTATAAATTGTTTTACATCATTTCTTGCGATCGTTAAAACAGACGTGCCAACCATTCCAGTTTTTAGTCCTAGATTGTGCCAATAACATCATACCATTTAAATATTGACTATAATTCCAAATTCACTGTGTGTAATTGCACAAAATGTGGCAAGCTTTCAGTAAAATAAAAGCCTGTTCTATACAAAAATCAGATGCGTTATAAAGGCATTTGTATGCAAGATATGTCTGTGAAATGAAGAAGTCAGTCTGACTCAGGCTCCGACAGTTATTTTCAGTATCCCTCTATATTGTATCTGTATTAACTCTTTTCTGCCATGAACCAAGGTAAAATGAATAGTCTATAAATCTCTGACATCAAATACATACCATGTTGAATGCTGTAAATAGTTGTAGTATGAACACTTTGACTCCTACTCGTTCGCTTAGGGTTAGCTTTTGGACTTCTGCAGCTGTACTTACATCAACTTCAAACACTTGGTAACGCCAATTAAAATATCGGTCAATCAGAAGCTGGCGCAGCCATGCTGGTTTTGTTAAAATGAAAGCTGTCTTACCAAGAAAGGCTTAGGGGGGGGAAAAAAAAGAGTTCCACACCGGGATACCACCCTTGCACTAAAGGAAATAGTAAAAAGGAAACGTATCACTGGGAAGTTTACTCCTCAACCATTTCGTTAGGACTTTTGTTTTTGTAAACAGAAGCAGTATAAGAAGGTATGAATGACCTAGGATACACCAAAAGGACTGAAGAACAAGGTTCAAAATATTTTTATGGGAGATATAGATCCCATCAGTCCTCCACAAACATATGCTGGGAAAACCAAACAGTACTGAAAGGGTTAAACATTACTTGTAGTAAAGTAAAGGTGAAAATAAGACAAATAAATAACCCCAAAAATTACAATCTAAGAAGAAATTATCCCATTATGGAACTTTGTAATAGTTGGAAACTACCCAACACCAAATACTAGAAAAAAACAAACAAACAGGAACACAAAGAAGAAGAAAAAAACAAAAGTCAGGTAAGTTTAATAGATAAATGACTGACATAAAGTAACTTTATGTTGAAAGTAATGAAATGATGTCAAACCACAACAGTTACTGATCTGATGCAATATAAAACTCTTGCCAAGTATAGGTGTTGTAGAAATTTAAGTCTTAACTTACTTCTAACTCACTGTGTGTGTTATTCATCCAAAATAAATGAAAATCATGTATTTTATATGCTTTATTCTGTGGATCTTGGTATTGCTTATGGCAGAAAAGTGGCCACAAAAATGATAATTCTCATTTTTCTACCTAGTTCCGAATTTTTTTTTAGGCTGTCATTTCTGTATACATCGGTTAAGGTTGGCATTTCCATTAAAGGAATGTAAGAATGTATGGATGGTATATGTTTTTTAGAAAGATATTTGTGATTCTTCCTTTGTAATAGTAGTATTTAGGAACAGATTCAACCCGTGCTAATTATTCAATATATGTTTTTTAGAAAGATATTTGTGATTCTTCCTTTGTAATAGTAGTATTTAGGAACAGATTCAACCCGTGCTAATTATTCAATTTTTGTCTTTTGTTTCTCTAACTGTTAAAAAAGTGTGAAATTCTGATGTAATCTTACCAAGAATAAATTAAAATATACTTTTTGTGAGAATATCAAATCTTTCAAAGTACATTGATTACCCACATGAGTAGTTACCCCGCTTGTATAACGTACAAAGGATGCCGCCTCGGTGAGAGGTCTCTTAGAGAGTAGAAATAAAAAAAATGCTGTATGAGGGTTATGTAACTGTTACATAATTACTGGGATTACTCAACTGTTATGTACTAGACAAAGGTTGGCGACATCCGAGGGTTACATATTTATTGAGTAATATGCAAATTATCACTCCAACTGAGAGTTACATAAGTGTTCACGAAGTGGAACCAGAGGGCGATGGCGCCATGCAATGATGTCACCAGAGAGGGTGTGTTGCTAGAGTCACGTTGTTAGCCCGTCATGAAGGTGGACATGACGTTATAGTTCCTTGTGGATCAACATGGCTAGATTTAATACAGTCAGTACAAAATACTAATTCATTAGTTCTGTACTTAATTACATTTCCTGACCATTTATTTGTAAATAGTCCAGAAGAAGACGTATATTTATATACCATACTATGATTTAAAATTCACTGTTTCACTAGTCTGACTTTATGCTATCCGTATAACTTGACAAAAATATTTCATTTTACACACGATACTTTATAGTTTTATCTTACATGAGTTTGACAAGGGTGGAGGGTATTACTATACTTCCACATATGATTACGTCATCAATGTCTAGATTTAATTATATTAAAACTATTATTTTAATGACAACCTTATTGTCCATAGGATTTTAAGAAACTTGCTGTTATGCATTACACGAATGAGATCACAACTTATGTTTTTGTTTTCAATTATATATATTTATCTGTATTTCATGGGCAATGTCACTAAGGGTTGTATACAGATTTCAACATACATCTAATTGCCTATGTTTGACAAAGATGTTTCTATACTTCCATAGAACAGTATGAAGTATATAGACGTTTTTTTTAAATTTCCATCTGTGGGTCATTGACACCAAGTATCATTTTGCTCCGACTCATTGTTAGATGTTCAGTCTTAGGCCAATCAGACTATTTAATTTCAAAACACATGAGCTGCAACTTTCTATACACATATAATGCATGTTTCACTATCTTTAATTTTAACATTAAGTTAAACTCTGTAGTAAATTATTTGACTACATAATCAATGTGTTTAATCACTATTATAGATTAATAACACTTACAATTTTTAAAAAATCTTTGAGGACAGATATAACTGAACTTTTTTGGACACATGTCGACAATGATAATAAGTATGATATATACAATATTGTCTACAGAGAGAGATGAATACGGTATTTGCAGTAAACTTTTGTTCTGGTAAGTTTATATTGAACAGTCCTTGATGATTTTCTTATACTGAGATTACGTGGAGGCAGTCCTAATGGATCAAAACATTCTCTGTTCTCATCTTGACCAACGTAAATACAGATCCAGTGGCTAGCAGATTTATGACTGGGATTCAGATTAATGATGTACAATTGTTTCTCTACGTGATCAGGTAGCTTATTACTGGCAAGCACACCAGCAAACCTTTTTGCATACACAAATCTTGCGAAAGTATCCAATAAATTTCTAAAATGTTCATAGCTTCTTTCAGACAATGTTCCATAGGACACCTACTGTTTCGGTTTCACAAGTCAACGATACATTAATATAACATGCATATTATCTATTATTTGAATGAGAATAATACATTTTGCTACAACTAAATATAATAAATGAATAACTTACTGTTTATCCATTCATTTTCTATTCCAATTTCATGAAACATTGAAACTGTCTGAACACTATTATGAAATATCACACATACATACAGTCTGGACGGTGCCGTCAAGCTAGCTAATTTTTGTCTTTTAAGAAATACAAAGCTTGTCACGTGATCACATGGGAAGAGTAGACAGAGAAAAAGAAGGTATAGAAAAAATAGTAAAGTGGTTGACATAAATGAGAAAGGTCAATTCTGAGTAAGCCAAGTCTATTTTGCATAAAATAAAAGTCAATTATAATACATTGTCACTATCTGTGTATTTACATTATACTTAATATTGAAAATAAACGGTTCAAACTCTACAGAATCGTATATTTTCTACATAAATTCGTACTTATGTTTCCAATAATAGTGTTGTAACCAAGTATTTAACACATCCTCTGTCCTTTATATCACACTAGAGCTATAATCAGTATTCTATGTTGTTATATATCAGATGAAACATACTAGCATTTGTTTTAATTACATGACAGAGAATGGATTGGTCTCTAGTAGTAGTCATTGACCAACACATGACTAAAGAGCAAAGGTCAAAGTATTGGTCACAGAGCTTTTACTCTTTGGTGTCATTCCTTAGAAAGTCCCCCTATTCTGGATTATATATATAACTGTGTAAAAACAATATATAAACATACCCACAGACGTGGGTTACGAGTATATACTTTGTGGTGAATATTTTCAACTGGTGTGATCATCATCTCCATACTAATCATTTTGATGAGTATCTTATTTGTTTTGTTTATAGAGATTTTTTATTTATGCTGTCTGTATGATTGCACATTTAAATATTCCCCCAATTGCTATTTCACTATTTTACTTAAGATAGTGAAGATGAGAGCTATTCTTCTTCTTCTTCTGAAGAAAATGATTTTGTTTAAAAATATGAAATTTAAAGGTCTTGGTAATCCATACGTATTTCATTTTGTATTGTTTGTAAATATCAAAGGTTATTATGCTGTCAGCTTCTCAAATGAAATTGAAGAACACTGTCAATTTGTAAGATGGACGATACTGATAATTTCTTTACTGTCTAAACGATTACACCTTCAAGAAGTTAGACAACGTATATATCTTTATGAGTTGTATTTGTAAAGTTATATTTAAATGACAAATATGTGAATTCTAGATCGAAAACAAAAAGTGGTAACTTAGAAGTAGAAAATAATTTCCTGTTGTACCATCAGATATTGAGAATTTCGTGAATGTACATTTAACTTTTTGTATCATTATGCTAAGTTCGGTGACATAAAATCCGTTCTTCATTGTCAGAGTTAATGTATAGTGGACATACAGTTTGTTTTGGTTGCAAAGTTTATTCTAAAATGATAGACAGTAAACCTATGTATGTGTGATACTTCACAAGTCTTTATATATATATATATATTGAAGATAACA